CGCACAAAACGGTCAAGCGACGGCTTATAGGTCGTTGAGCGTGTCGTTAGACTCTCCTCACCTGCGTTTGGAAGGTGTCCGGCGTTAGGTTGTTGACTAGTTGACTATACGTTCCTCTACCACACTTTACAATCCGCAAGTACCCATGCCCAAGGAATTGGCGATCCCAGAAGTAGACCATACACCGATCCAGAGCATCCCAAACATGCTCAATGGGTGACATGTTAGGGTTAGGGTTTAACCCTAGGGTTTTCGGACCCCCCCAGACCCCCCCAATAAAGCAAAACTGCACGTTTCAGAGTGGCCTTTTATTGTGGCCAGCCTAAGGCACACCTGTGCAATAATCATGCTGTCTAATCAGCATCTTGATATGCCACACCTGTGAGGTGGGATGGATTATCTGGGCAAAGGAGAAGTGCTCACTATCACAGATTTTTTCAGATTTGTGAACAATATTTGAGAGAAATGGTTATTTTGTGTATATAGAAAATGTTTTAGATCTTTCAGTTCATCTCATGAAAAATGGGAGCAAAAACAAAAGTCTTGCATTTATATTTTTGTTCAGTGTAAGTAAAATGTAACATTTATTCTTTCAGTATTTGGGTTCAACACATGCACCACAGAGTGAAAATGAACCTACTACCTAAACATAATTATGGCAGAAACGCAATCAAAGTGCCTTCATTTACTCTTTCGTTTCTTTACAGTGTACGTAATAAGGTAGATCTGGTTCACCTGAACATCGTTAGCACTGCAGCCAGAGTATCACCTTCATCTCCTTATTTGCAGTAATCTGATTATTTTGTGCATGTAAACACCTTGTCTTCTTTTTCTGTTCCTCAGATTTGGGACACAGCCGGTCAGGAGAGGTTCCAGTCTTTAGGCGTAGCGTTTTACCGCGGAGCCGACTGCTGCGTCCTGGTGTTCGACGTCACGGCACCAAACACCTTCAAGACCCTGGACAGCTGGAGGGACGAGTTCCTGATCCAGGCCAGCCCCCGAGACCCCGAGAACTTCCCCTTCGTGGTGCTGGGCAACAAGATTGACTTGGAGAACAGACAGGTGGGTCCAGATAATCTCATTTAAGGTCTCCTTATGTCCTTTTTTGTGTAAATCTACAGTTGTGAGTGGTTATTTCTGAGTTTTGGAATAGCCTGGATTAAGCGTGTCATTATTTTCAGTCTTTTTATATTACATTTTCACTATTTTAACAATTGTTGTGGCCAAAAGTATTTACAGTAACAATATTATCATGATATCAATAGAAAATGTAATAATGCCACCAATTGAAATGTGTCAAATGTATTACACTGATTTGTGGTTGGGGGTGTTGGAAAGGGCAGACAGAGCAAGAACAAAAAGTCCCATCATAGTTATATTTTCCAGCGGTGCTGTTTATGGGGGGAGGGGGGGCTCCAAGAAAATTGAAGTTAGTACAGTTATGGTTTGTACTTTTTGAGACCTTTTTAAAATTGGTTCTGAACAGTTTTTAAAATATCCTACTATCTAGAAGCTAATAACAATGCAAACGTGTCTTTTACTTTGTTTATTGTGCATTTTGACTCTTTTTTTTTGGCAAATAAGATGAGTAGACTAATGTATTAAGTTGAGAGGCAAGCGCATGTTCATCAAATTAAATAACAACAAATCCATGGTAAAAACAGTATTGTAATAAAGCAGCATTAGAGAGTAAATGAACATATAAGCAATAAAGTAGAGAATGGAAGCACTAGATTATTTACATGATATTACCAAATGACTACCATAATATCAATATTATGGTATTCTCTGGTATTTATCTCAAGACCCCTGTTTCTCAGTATGACATCACTTCCTTTATGTTTCAGGTAACCACCAAGCGAGCACAGGCGTGGTGTCAAAGCAAGAACAACATCCCATATTTTGAAACAAGCGCCAAGGAGGCGATCAACGTGGAGCAAGCCTTCCAGACTATTGCACGCAACGCCCTTAAACAGGTAACGTAGGCCTGCACTAAAACACTTATTGAATGCATGTAAATAAATCGTATTTTTTAGCATGGATTCTTGTGAAAGATGCATCTACATCGTCTGATTTCAGGAGACCGAAGTGGAGTTGTACAACGAGTTCCCCGAGCCGATAAAGCTGGACAGGAACGAGCGAGCCAAGCCGTCAGCGGAGACCTGCAGCTGCTGAGGACTCTGAAGATCTCCAGGGGTTTGGGGGGGGATCCCCGTCACTTCCCTGTCTTGCCTTGTCTATATATCCCTTATCCCATGGGCCACTGTGTTTAACCCTAATGCCCAACAAACAAGGAGCATCCCACTCATTGAGTATACTACACACACACAGGCATTCTGCACTCACCTCCTTATGTATACAACACACACATTTTCTATAAAATATCAGTCTCCTAGCCCAAAGAACACCCTAAGGAAACATCATGGAGTTTACTTGTATGATGCTTATTACTTCCCAGTTTTCCCCCATGTACTTTTCCATGATGATGGTGGTGGTGGTTCGGGGTAACCTCATTTTCGGTTCCATGCATATCGCTGCTTTCACGCCCAGTTTTGGTTCTAACTGCTTTTATTTGGTCAATCGAAGCATTATATCTACATATTTGTGTTGATGAGTAAAATTAGAAAAAACTAATGTTTAGTTGTTGGGCTTTTTTTCATCAGTTTCTTAAACAAGTGGTGGTTGTTTTCTACTTTCACGGCCCGCCACTGCTGCATGAATGGAAGAAAAACACTGCTCCCCCATTTTACTAATTTGTGTTGTGGCTTAATTTTGTTTAACTTTAAAAAAGAAAACACTTGTTACCGTGTTTTCACTTTACCTCATGCAATCTATAAAGAAATCAGTTGGTAGTGAAGGATCAGAATGTGTGAAGGTGGGTCACACTCATATGCTGTCTGCTGGTTAATTGGGACAGAATTAGAAATCCAGCTCCGTGATTGGTCCGTCAGTGTGTACAGAATTCAGATTTTTCTTTTTGCACTTTGCTGTAATCCACAATTACTGATGACATCTCATTTTTGGAGCCACACTAAACGCATTTGTAGCTCAGGTTGAGGACATTTGTGTGACTGGGCTCCTAACACGCTGTTTGTCCACTGGAGGAAGTGAAGGTGCATCTCATACCCGCTTGTTTTTGGTACATTTGACGTGGGAATTAACCAAATGAAGACAGTATGTCATTCTACCTGAGCAGAGGTCTTTCTCATCACCATTCATAACTGATGCTATTAGTTAGTTTCTTTTTACTGTAAACTATTGCAAGACTTTGTATATTTGCAAACCTCTCAATCATTGTGTGGGGGAGGCAAAGCGTGGTGTTGTAATTCTCCATATCCGACTCTGCCAGTCGCTCGTTGGCCAACGATTTAAGTGCTTGACATTTCTTTTAACCGATCAGACCTTTAACTGTCTGTTCATATTATGTTAAAACTTTGAAATGCATTATAGATTACAAGATAGCATACATACTGTAACTTTGAAAGAAGAAAACAAATGTGGGGTGGAGGGAGTATTGGCATTCATCATTATTATATTATTAATATGATAAATGCATAGAATCTACATTGTTGCGAAATGTCTTCGCGTTTCAAGTAATAAAAAATCTTGAATAAAACATGCTGGTTATTTCTGACATTTATTAACATACTGAAATGAAATGGTACAAACATGTGAAGCGTTATCTTAAAATACTATTGGTTTATAAGCAAAGGCATACTATAGAGAAGAGGAATACATATGGCTTAAATGTACAAGTTCACATCTTTATTTGGTTCTTGGTTTCTTATTGGCCCCCTGAAGCCACTGCTGGAGGCCTCCTGCAGATTTGCTCTGAGCCTCTGCTTTGATTTCTTTCTCTTCTGGACTCTCGACCGTGTCGGGGTCCTTCCTCTTTGAAGGTGCACTGCTCTTCAGCCAGCTCATCATCATCTTACTGCTGGCTGTAGGTTTGGGCTCCTGGGGGGGGGTCAAGAGTCAGATTGTTCCAGTTTGAATCTAAAACTTACACTTTATTGCTACATTTTCCAAACAAAGTTAAATTACCTTTTTGCTGTTGAGATCCACTGGCTGAAGGCACTCTGGGGAGTTGTTGCGAGAGTTATTCACTAACGAAGAGACGGGATGAAAAGTCAAACTGTTTTTAGACTGGAGCAGCTTCAAGGCATCCAGAGACTTCACATCCCCAAAATCCAGCCATCTTCTCACTTCTTCCTCACCGTCCAGGACAGCTGGCATCCTAAAAACACAACCAATCAGGAAATAGGGTTTATTTCAGACACATAGAAAAAAAAAAAGCCGCCATGAACGATCCTTACCTGTCATGGATGCTTTCCAGGCTTTTGGAGGCGTTCACAGTGATTACGCTGTACGTGTAGAGGGGTTCTCCACCACCGGGAGGCGTCCAGCAGTCAAACAGTCCAGCCATGGTCAGCAGCTTCCATCCAGTCCACTCACCTGGTTCTCCTCCCTGGCCAACATAGAGAGGCATGGCCACAAGAATTAGCAGATTTAATTAATAGAAAAAGACCAGCATCCAAACTAAAGCATGACTTTGTAGGTAATGTTACTTTGAAACCTAAAGAAACACCTGGCGGACAAATACACATTTTTGCTTTGGCTACTCTCCCACACAGGATATTTTCAGCCGTGGTAATTTCCGCCACAGCTGCATTCTTCTATTCCGAATGAAAGCGAAATGTTCATAGTGCTTATATTGCTGCAGAAAACCCAATATGAACCTGAGTCGAGTCGGGGGAGGCCAACTCTGGAGGGCACGCTGTCTCCGAGTTCTCCTTATTGCGGGTTGAGGTCATGGGGTCGTCCTCATCCTCGGTTTTTTCTTCACTGGTTCCCTTAGTCTGAGGGAAGTATATGAAGAAAGGCTGCTTGTCTTTTTCCTGCCTCCTCCACTCATAGAAGCCATCAGCCAGGATGACGCAGCGCTGCCCTTTTATCAGAGGGTCCTTTGGGGACACGATAAACTGATTACATGTTTCATGAAACACAGGAAATTCAACAGCTTAGCAGTGTCTCAAACCGTTTGTACCTTGTATGTTTTCTTTTCCAGTATATTCTCACTGCGACAGTTGTTGGTACTGTATTGCATTTTTCTCGGGTCATTCTCCTTGAACCAGGCGGGAACCAGACCCCAACGCATGGAAGCCAACACACACTCATCCACAGGAGCAGTCTGAACACATACAAGAAGTGAACACAATAACATGAGCACCTTCAATGAGGATGCAAATGGCCATTTTTATTTTTCTGTTTCTAATGCCTGATGAGTGATGCAAATATACAAGCTACTTGCTAATAGTGTGTCATGCCCATGTATGACACACTATTAGCAAGTAGCAAAACCTTTTTGAGGCTTACAATGGAAACATTTTATTGGGAATGTGACGGAGAAACGCTTCTCTATCCTTTCTGTATAAAAAGTCATGTTAAAGTATTGTTTTAAGTGTTGTTGTTTTCTATCTTAATCTGGCATGAATCTCCTCTCTTTTTTAGAGATTAATGTTTTTTTATACATGGTCCTTGTTTAGTAAAGACATACAAACAATATTATATGAAGAAGTATCTTGTTGATTATTAGAGCTCTTCTTTTTGGTGTTGTTCCTGTGTTAATATTGCATTAAAGAAGTTTTTCAGGAATGTCTCTTGAAATGTACACCTGTCTACCTATGTGGCGTCCTTTACCTCTTTCTTAGTGGGCAGGATAAAGACATTACTACCTTATCAAAGTGCCTGTGGGACAGCAGGACGGGGCTCATGGACTGCGGGCTCTTGTTGTAAGACGGTCGGTATTTATCCGCGTCTCCCTCCCTCCAGCGGGGCTCTCTCCTCTGTCCTCCCCGGGATTTGTAGCTGCAGGCTCGGCTCACCTCGTCAGGAGCAAGGGTGCACGCAGTCCTTCCACACATTTTACTGCGAGAAAACAACTGTGCATGCACCTGACACACAGACATTTTCAAGGTAAGTTCTTCAATGTTAGCATGTTAGCTTGAGTTATTTTGTCCAAACAAATGCATTTAATTTCAAATAGCTGGAAAGGCATTTAACAACGTTGGTCGGCTTACCTGTTTTTGAGTGTGTTTGATATGTATGTATCGTGAAGTTGCCGTTATTAGCTATGTGTTGTGTTTTCAGCGTGTGTTCGTGCATGTGTGTAAGTAGGCTATGTGTACACATCTGAAAGTAGAGCGGGGAATTGCCTGGGCAGAGGCTGAAGCACACGTGACACCGTGACGTAGCATACAGCAGTCCCTCCTCCTGTCACAAGATGGCGACATAAACAGACAAAAATATCGAAAATAGACAAAAAAAGAAAAGACCATACTGACATTTTCCCAGTGGTGTAAAGTAAGTACATTTTCTACGCGAACAAGAAAACCTCCACTTGTTTTTGACCAACTGAAAAAATGTCTTAAAGCTTTATTTTGCTACCGTTTTGTTTAGAAATCACCGAAGATGTTTTGAAACTAAACTTTTTACACACTTAGATACTTTGCAGATTTTATTGGCAGTTTCTTTATAGGTAAATCTACACACATTTTATTATATTAGCTAACCAGTAGTTTATAAATGTATTACAAATAAACCCAATCTTTACCGAGTGCAGGATTGGTAAATATTATTTTCTTAAGTACAAATGTAATGTACTTATAGTTGTAACTGACTATTTGTACTACTTTACTTCAGTAAATAATCGGAGTACTTCCTCCACGTGGGCATAAGCATGACGATATTTAATATCCTAGTGAAGGTAAACAACTATTTTGCAAAAATAAGACGCCTAAAGCAGTGTCAAATATATAAAACAAAACTCGCAAAAAAATAATCGTTTATATAAAACAATGACGTTGAAAATCCCCCCCTTTACTCAGCAGTTGGTGCAGGAAGCAGGATGAAGTCGTCGTGCTGTTGCCATGGGAACCACAGTCAGCGAGAGTCTGGTCAGGTGAGTTCCTCAGGTGAAACAGAACCGGCTTCAACGGAGATTATACACCCGTGAACCTCAGCAGGTAAGAGGAAAACAAACAATAAACCAACAGGGGCAGAGCTTCGGTTTTAAATGCTGACTGTATCCTTCCAGTTTAAGAGACAGTGTTGAGCAACTTTCCCAGTAGGTCTAAAAAATAGTGTGGGCAGGTTGTGACGTTGATGCTAGTTTTAGTTTAAAAATATGGGTGGCTTTGTAGTAGCATTTATTTTCTGGGCAAGTAGGAAATCAGACTGAGTATCACAGCCACCCTGGGGTGTTCTCCTGCACAGTAAGCTGACCTACTTTATAGTCCAGTGCACTTGAAGAGAGACGGATCCACTCAACCAGTAGCTGGAGATGCATGACACCTGCAGTTGTTTACATCGTTTTAATCCCTGTATTTTACACCTTTTTTGTGTTACAGTTGTACACTTTACATGTTATAAATGCTAGATGTTGTCCCCTGCAGCAGTGCATATCCTAAACCATGAAGCAGAGCAAAAGCAGAGGTTCCTCAGAAGAATAAGACCAATGTTGGTATGAAGACCACCAAATCCAAACAACCTTTCCATCTGGCTACTGATAGACGCTACACAGCATGCCCAGACAGTGGTGAGTTAAAGCAACAAAGATAACACATGTGTGATTAACCCAAAGAACAGACATGATATATACTACTAGAAATCACGGACTAAATATCTTCAAATGTTAGTCAAAGGGTGGTCTTATCACCTTAATTCATAACCCAGGATTTAAACCATCTACTACTTCAAATTTGATTGACAATTCTAAAAAGTGTCTCTTTATTTCTGTTAGTTAACAACTCAAACAATAGGTGCAATTATGGGTGTGTTACTGTTGCTGCAGACCTGTTTCCAAACTGAAATGTGAAACGTGACTTCTGTATGAGTTAACACCTCCAAAGGACAGCATACACAGGCTGCTTATGAATGCTGAATAAAACATGAGGTCACACTCAGGACAGGTGGCTAAATGTTTTAACTCAGAGGCTGCTTCTTAAAGTTTCATGACTTTGTTCTTTTTAACTCCAAGCTAAAGATGGCCTGCCTTTAGTTACATTGTCTTTGGCCATGACCACACTGTGTTTCCTGATTAAATCTATAATCTGTCCTTTTAGATTTGGTTTATGCATTTAGGCTTAGGCCATATTGATCATCACAATTGTGGACATTTTGTTTTCTGAGATAGATATATCACATTTTGAGTTTGTGACTATTCCTCTAGCCTCTCCTCCTTAATGTACTGGACTGCTACTTGTTGTCATGTTACTGTATGTAATGAAGAAGACTATGCCATGTGTGTTATGAAGAGCTTACAACATTTTGTTCTGGCTCAGATTGCAAACCGGTTTACATGAGCCATTTCACCAAAATACTTTATACTTTACTGTTACAATCCTGATGTTACTGCAGGGGAAACAGAAGATCAGAAAGGCACAGCTTTTATCCAGAAATACACCCAAGATGAAGGCAAAGGCCTGCAAGCAAGTAGGTTTCCACTACATGTCGATATGATAAGCATTATAACAATTTAACAGTATAATTACACATTTTGTTCTGATATATTTGAATTTTTTCTAGCGGCAGGTACACCTCCCGAGGGCAAAGTCCCCCGCAGTTTTGTTAGCTTACCTGTTCTCAATCCAGAGAGACTGAAGACAGCCAGAGCTCAGGTGGACAAAGCTGTCAGGGTGAGTTCACATCACTGAATATACACCCCGACCCTGTATACAAAACATTTTTCTGGTCACATACCTGTCAAAATGTTCTACAAATATTTAGGTGTATGCTCTCATTCCTCTCAGATGCATAAGGTGTTCTCTGTCCAGGGCCCCTACCCTGTCATCAGGACAGCGCTGAGGGCCAGAGGCTGGGTGGAGCAGCGTTTGCACTGCCCAAAGCCCCCCGTTCACCATCGTCACAGCGAGGAGGGCAGCCCTAAAGATTCTGCTGACAGCGATGAAGATGACGGTCAGCTATAATAAAGGGAGTCCATTTTTTACTGGGTGCGGATATCTGTGTATATCCCATCATTTATTAACATTTCTCCTTCTTCTCAGACAATGTCAACAAAGAGCCGGACCCTGATGGAATATATGATATCATGGTAAATATAATATTTAAGGTTGGAGGCTGGAGTGATGTGAAACAGGCAGGAAAATAGTTTTTTGCGTTAAACGTTTCAGAAAATCAGGTTATTAGCTGAATTCAACAGATTCAGCTCTCCTCTTTCCCCACTTCTCATGCAGTCTCGCCTGGTGCGGAATGAAATGGTTTATTTCTATTGGACGATGCGTAGAGACGCCATCAACCCCAACAGCTTGCAAAAAGAACAGATTATCAATCATTTTGCAAAAGCAGGCAGCTTCACCACCAAGGTACATATTGTCCTTTTCTACATCAAAAATGACTGCAGTGGTCTCCTCCTCTCACACCCAACATTAATGTTTAATAATGTCTTTTCTCTGTCAGTCGGGGCTGTGTGTGAACCTGAGGAAGCTGCACTGGTTTGACGCCGCTGACCCGGACACCTTCTTTCCACGCTGTTACAGACTGGCAGCACAGGATGAAAAGCATTCGTTCATTGGTGAGATCTGACCGACTATTTCGCCTTAATGACAAGATTTCATTCACACTAGTGGAAAGGAAACATCCTAAATAGAAATCTTTGTTTTATTCGACTAAAAACAATTTTTTTTTTACCCAAATACAAAATGTATACAAATGCTAATTTAGAATACATAATTTTTCCTCTAAACGAATGTTTTTAATCATTCTTTGAGCCAGAAATTGCAAAATGTATACAAATGCAAATTTAGAATACATAATTTTTAACACCGTTTCCTCAAAATAAATGTTTTGAATCATTCTTTGAGCCAGAAATCTCCACTTCAGTAGCAGAATGAAATGTATATGTATAGTCTGATTGACATCAAAAAAAAGTTTTTAGAGGTACAAAGAGATATCCAAAGTTCCCTCTGTAAAACCTTAGACTCTAATATGTCAACAAAATGAAACAAGAACTTTGAATCCAATAATCAGATTTCTGTTTCAGAACTGTACTATCTGAAAGCAATCACATATTTAATAAGATAATGTCTAATTTCATATTTCATGTTTGCACTAGGGAATGAAAATGGGTACATTTCATGTTGATATCTCTTAATTGAAATGTTACCCTACTGCTCACGTGTAGTATAATGGATTTCCAGCATCCTTGTACTAAAAGCTTAATTTCCTCTTTGTCTGCAGAGGACTACAGGAGGACAGCCTGCACCAGTTTTTTGAAGTACATTGTGGAGAGGGAGGAAGGCGTTCAGACAGAAGGAACGAGCCACAACACTCGGGCTGCGAGGAAACGAAGCAAACAGCGATCAAGACCAATGGACCTTTCCAAAATGATTACCAGCGCTCTCAAAGTATGCCAGGAGTTTCTGGAGAGTCTGGAGCATCGTGACATAGACAGAAACCTAGAGACCCCACTTACAGAGGAGCAGTGGGAAGAGTTTATCCACAGTTACCAACTTGTTGTTCAGTGAGTGTTGTGTGTGTGTAAGAAAAGAAAGCCGACCGGGATCAAAAAAACCTATGACCGTGTGCTACGCTATTTTTTCTGGCCTCGGTTAAAGCGCGATGTTGCAAGTTATGTTAAAGCATGCCACATATGCCAGCTCACTGGTAAACCAAGTCAGGTGGTTAAGCCTGCTCCCCTCAGTCCCATTCCATCCATTGGCCAACCTTTTGAGCATTTGATCATAGATTGCGTGGGGCCTCCATCTAAGTCCGGTTGAGCGTACATGCTAACTACAATGTGCCAGACTACAACGTATCCTGCAGCGTTTCCCTTGCGCTCCATTTCAGTGAAGCCAGTAGTTAGGGCTCTAACCCAGTTCATCTCCACATTTGGGATCCCACGTGTGATTCAAAGCGACTTTCAGTATTTTATACAGTCCCTCCCTCTCTTTGTCTCTTTTAGTGGAGGGGAAAAGATCGAGAACAGTGATATTTTTGTGCACTGCTGCAAAGCCATGCTAGAGAGGCTGGTGGAGGTCAGTCCACAGCTGGACATCGACGGCATACACAACATCTGGATCATCAAACCGGGAGCCATGTCCAGGGGCAGAGGTGAGAAGTCAGACACAATCGAACAGTTTACACAAAATGTGACGAGTCCTGGCTGATCTGCCAAACCTCTCTTCCAGGCATCAAATGTGCCAAGCATCTGGATCAGATCCTCCAGCTGGTGGATGGAGATTCAACCCTAATCAAGGAAAGCAAGTGGGTGGTGCAGAAGTACCTGGAGCGCCCCCTGCTGGTCCATGGCACCAAGTTTGACCTGCGCCAATGGTTCCTGGTCACCGACTGGAACCCTCTGACTGTGTGGTTCTACAAAAAGTGCTACGTGCGCTTCTCTACGCAGCCTTACTCGCTCAATACAATGGACAAGTAAGTCAGTGAAGTAAGAGAAAGAAAGGCATCACAGGTTTTGCTTGTCATAGCTGAATTAACTTTTATCATCTGGGTTTATTTAAGTTTCTGTGCTAAGTGAATACTAGAAAAATAACTTTGACACTTTACCATCTTACTTTCTTACAGTTCTTCTGTCCTGGTAGAATTATACAAATAACACTTGTAGAGTATAAAGTAGTCAGTCTTGAGTCCTTTCTCTAAGCATGCCCTTTAAAAACATGTCTCATTATACTTCTCTCATTCCCATATCACCCATTTCCTCGTGTTTCTCTTTACTCCATCTTTTCAGCTCTGTCCACCTGTGCAATAACTCCATCCAAAAGCACCTGATACCCTCCCAGCAGCGCCACCACGGTATCCCAGCAGACAACATGTGGTCTGACGATCAGTTCAGGACCTTCCTGTGCAGCCAGGGGAGGGGAGCTCAGTGGCAGACGGTGGTGGTCCCCGGGATGAAGAAGGCTGTGATCCACGCTTTACAGACAACACAGGATCTGATGGAGTCACGCAAAAACACCTTCGAGCTGTACGGTGCTGACTTCATGCTAGGTAGGATTATATCACTGTACATTATATACATTGTATACAGTATTGATTCATTACATGTCCAATACATATAATATGTAATGTGAAGCGCGTTGAGCACTTGGAAAAGCATGCATTCACTTATATTTAAAACAATTATTTTCAGGAACATAGGGAAATGATAGGAAACGTCTAAATAAGTATGTAAAATATTTGTATTATACTGCAAAATACAAATAACAAATATAGAAAAATAGAAAATATGTTAACCTAATTGTTTTATTTAAACTGCAATGTATAACAGCAGTCTAAATAAATAAAAATATTGAATGTATGGTTTGAGTGTGTTGAAGACTAGTATAAATAACAGTATAAGTTGAAATGTAAAGTATAAATAAATGCAGTGTTAATGTAAGAGTAAACCAGGGTTTATCACAGTTGAATTTACGTTTGATAATATTTTGGTAATATAATAAAAATTGAACGATTCCAATATAGATTCCATTCTAATATGTTTGTGCACATTTACTAAAATAAATAAAGGGTATGTGTAGGTGACCCCTTGGATGTGTTGTTCTGTGTTTTTAGGCCATGACCTGCGCCCCTGGTTGATAGAACTCAATGCCAGTCCCACGATGGCTCACTCCACCCCGGTGACGGCTCGCCTCTGTTCTGCTGTGCAGGAAGACACAATACGAGTCGTCCTGGACCGGAGAGCGGACCGCACTGCAAACACCGGGGACTTCCAGCTCATATACAAGCAGGTAAGGAAGAGTTATAATAGTGTGTACAGTTACACAATTTGATGGTAATATCTGTTACCATAGATATCACTTTTGGTCTCCAGGCAGCAGTAGACGTGCCACAGTATGTAGGAGTCAACCTGCTTGTTGAGGGCAACAAGATCAGGTCTCCCTGCACACTTCCTCCACTGAACCGTCCAGGATTAAAACGCCGCAGCAGAGACAAGGAGCCTGTGGTAGAAAAAGTCAAGCCTCTACCTAAGATGTTGTTGAAGAATCAGTTCAAAAACATCAGCAGTGGGATTTCTACTCCACCTCGTACTACTCTTCCTCCTGATCCGCCTGTGCCTGTCGCTAATAAAGGCTTCCCAGTTCAGCTGCCAATGACCGTGAGGACCATCCAACTGCCCGTTAATATACAGTCTCGCTCTGTCCTTTTGTGGAAGAGGAAACGAGTGGTTCAAAAAGTCTGTTCACAGAAATTCCAACCCTGTACATTAAACAACGGCCGGGGTCTTTCTTTATCTTTAGAGATTATTCCAAAACAGCCCAGGCAAACAGCCACCAGCTCCTCGAGTGCATGAAAAAACTTGACCAAATAATTCACACACTCCTACAGCTTCCACTTTCTTTTTGCAGGGTTGTATGGCCTACCTCATAATAAAGATGACATTCAATAACTAAGTCTTCTTTTCACTTTATTTATTTATTTATTTGTTCCAATAATGTGATCTACGACAACCGTTCCCCTGTTATTTCAGCTAGATACCTTCAGGGTATGAGTATGTGTTAATAGTTATACATTTGAATTCAGATAAGATAAAATATTATATTATCAACCCCAGTTTGTGAAATAATTTTGTCACAGCTGCGTGTAGACAATTAACCCTTGTGTTGTGTTCAAAAGCTGTTACCGTTCATGGTGTTCCGGGTCAATTTTGACCCATGACTTATCTCAGTCCAAAACACACACAAAAAATGACTGTCATCCAATATTGTTTTAACTAACTTATAATGCATCCATAACCGTACAATCCTGTTGTAATTTAATGTTATGGCCCAAAACACATTACACCACATATTGCACACGTGCATGTGTGTGTTCAGGTTCAAGTGTTAGTCTACATATTCTTTGAGAAAGGTCGAGTTCCCGTGGGGGGAGGTGGGGCAGAGGTAGGGGAGACCAGGTGCATGTTGCGAAAAATTATTGTTACAGTTGATGAAGGTGGGGGGAGGGGAGGACCGGTGGCATGTTGCGAAAATGATCGTTACAGTGTATTGAAGGGGGAGTGGCTCTAAAGTCAAAGATGAATTCAATTCAATCAAGTAAATTATACCATATCAGAACTTCTGTATAGACACTAATTATAATCCAGAAGAATACAACTTACATATATTTATTCTGAAAACTGCCACTCTGCATAATGAGTACTTTTAGTTTTGATACTTGTGATGCTCATACTGTACTTCTTATACTTTTACTGAAGTGGAAAACAATGAATGCACGATTTGTACTTGCAGCAGA